TACGCAGGTTTGTTTAGGTAACAACCAAATATTCTACTTGCCGATGTGATTTGATTTCATAGTGAACTATATGACGTAAACTTGAGAGATAAATTTTTCTTAAAATCGACATTTAAGATTGATTTGAGGTCCTAAAATGAATCAAAATATGCATATGCATAATATAAGAGGAATCTTGTGGTTTCTGGGTCTAGATATTCACCACAGGGGTTAAATACTAAACCCGTGACGTCATTACTGTTGATCAGTTATATTAGAAAAGTAATATTAAAGATATCGAGGAACCTTAAACGCATTTACTTTAAAAGACAATGTATGGTAATTGCTGAATTTGGCCCATCATTTGATGCTAACATTTGATATGCTTTAATTTAGGTTTGCAGTTAAGTCTGTAAAATGTTGCCTGTTTGAAATCTACCAATTTATTTGATTTAACGAGTACAGACCTAGGGAACTACTAAATTTCGTCAATCTTGAAAGAATTTCCTCAAAGAACAAGGACCCTCTGAAGCTTTATTTGCCCCTGAGAAATAAAACTTGTAAAGTTTATATTGAAAATGCAGTAATTATCACTTGAACTAATCGTACATATAGCTTTGGCATGTAACCATGGAGCTGACGTAATTTTTCATCTATTTGATGCATTATAACGTCATAAAATGCGTGATTTTTTCCATAACCTATAGCTATAAGTTCGTTAGAAACTAGCCTAAAAGTTATTTTTGTTTTCTTCAATATTTCATATTGAGCACAAATTTGAACCAAAACACAATGAAAGATCTATTTCTGAAGATCAGAAAACATAACATATTTATCTGTTTTTAATGTTTATAGGCTGTGATCATACTTTACTTTTTTACTAAACGCGGTCAAATCATATTGTCTATGCAAAATTTAGTTACTTTCTTTTTCTTAAAGCCTGTAAGGTAATAAGTGAGTTCTCATAAAGAACGTATATTACATGATATACATGTAAAATCGTACCGCCTCTGCTTAATTTTGATATATAAAATTGGACATAGGTTTGTTACAACGCGAAATGTAATAACAACGCAAAATGTAATAAACATGGATTATAACATTTTGCGTTATTACATTTTGCGTCGAAATCAACGCAGAATGTAATAACGCAAAATGTAAAAAGACATTTTTGAGGATTATTTCATTTTGCGTTATAACATTTTGCGTCGAGATCAACGCAATATGTAATAACTCAAAATGTAATAACATGATTTTTGGATTATTACATTTTGCGTTGTTACATTTTGCGTCGAAATTAAGCAAACAGCAAGAACGCAAAATGTAACAACACACTCTTTGGTCAGCCAGATTGAGTACAATTATTAATAGAGTAGTAGCCGTTGAAGAGGAAATTAAACAAAAGAAAAAAAACAGATATATGCAATTTCCTACAATTAATGAATTTCATAATATATTGATATAATAAACTACATGTGTTTTAAATCAGGTTAATTAATGTATTCAAATTATAAGTGTTGCAAATTAGAAACGCGCGTGAGTAGCAGTGTACTTTTGCTTTTTGACTCACCTGAGCCGAAGGCTTAAGTGAGCTTTCCTGATCAAAATTTGTTCGTTGTCTGTCGTAGTTGTCGTTTTCGTTGTTGTTGTTGTCGTCGTAAACTTTTCACATTTTCATCTTCTTCTCAAGAACCAACGGGCCAATTTCAACCAAACTTAGCACAAAGTATCCTTGGGTGAAGGGGATTCAAGTTTGTTCAAATGAAGGGCCACGCCCTTTTCCAAGGGGAGATAATTATGAATTAGAGAAATATAATGGCATTTTTAAAAAAATCTTCTCAAGAACCACTGGGCCAGGAAAGATGAAACTCGTGTGAAATCATCCTCAGGTAGTGTAGATTCAAGTTTGTTCAAATCATGACCCCTCGGGGGGGGGGGGGGTAAAATTCAAGCTTACTTTCAGTTCTGATCCGATCTTTGTTTTTTCCTAGCCAATGGCTCAGGTGAGCGATGTGGCCCCTAAGCCTCTTGTTTTAAATAGAAAATGCAATGAATCTAAAAGAAAACCTATTTATTTGTACTGGCAGGTGTAAATATATATCTGAAGGGTTTATTGACAATTGTGATACCATACTGATCTATGCAAATCACCTGCATTGCACACAAGCAAAAACACCCCACCCCTCCCTCCCTCTATCCAATAATAAATGGACTGTTTCTGCATGTCCATAGTAATACAATGATATATATAAAGTAAACACTCCACCCTATTCCTGCCCTTCCTCGCTTGACACACACATACACTTCTTTGTTAACCAATGTACACATGCCAAACATGCATATCAAGAGCTAATAATGAACTTATGGTCAATTCTTTGGTAATTAAATAAATTGTGTTATTGGTTAGAAATTTAATAAGACTATCAAAAATATGCCAATTAAGTTTAAACTTTTATAATTTAGCACAGTGTATTCAATATTACTAAAGTCAGAGTCAGAAAAACGATACATTATGATGTATTTATGTCCGTAAAAGCCCTAGAGTTGTTCTCATTGTTTTAGTTCTAAATATTTTGTACAGCGTTTTTCCCATGTTGGATATATGTATATTTTGAATCAATTTTATTATTTTTTTTTGTTAATCGCAATAAAAAAAAAGTGTATTTTGTTTTATTACATATTGTTTTATTACATTTTGCGTTGTCTTCAGTGCAAAAATAAAATAACGCAAAATGTAACAACGAAAAAGCACGTTATTACATTTTGCGTCGTGATCAACGCAAAATGTAATAACGTTAAATGTAATAATCTAAAAATCGTGTTATTGCATTTTGCGTTATTACATTTTGCGTTGATCTCGACGCAAAATGTAATAACGCAAAATGTAATAATCCAGGTTTATTACATTTCGCGTTGTTATTACATTTCGTGTTGTAACATAGGTTATACATGTACTAGTCAATTAATTGATATAAGGACAGGGCAATTTTATGCAAAAAGTAAATCTACATACATTGAATGTAGCTCTTTGAGATAATATTCAATTCATTAAGCAGAACAAAGTTTGCTTACCTGATATACTCAAAAACACCTGATACTATTTCACGAAATATTCAACTATATTTGCAGGCGTGTGCTCTGCGTTTATTACCATGTTGAAACAAAATGTGCTGTAAAATGCATGAAAATTTGCATATAAATCAGATAAAACGGCAATTTGCATTTTTCATGACCTTCCCTTAAAATTTATACCCAATAAGTTAGTATTCAAAGGATGAAAGCAGGTTTGTGATGATGAATGATTGCACTTCTAGACACATAATACATTTAGGTGCCATCAAGGGTTTTAGCATATATTGTCATTTATAAATCATTCTCTAGACAGCAACTTTGACACATGCATTGTATTTTGTAGACCAAATCTGGTTTCATTTCTTCTTGTTGACATTTCACAAACCCAAGCGAAACAATCATCAGTACAAGGTTATTGTAGCACATTTAAATAAAAAAATTGTCAGGATTGTCAAACAATTTTAAGTAGTCAAAAACGGTACTCGCTTTGTTAGCATATTTCAAAAGCGGGCTTGACCGATTTACACCCGAAATGAATAGAGTTATGGCAATAAACTGATCCAAGAATAGCTATTGGTAATTGATGATAAAGAACATTTTATATCTAAACAAGGTCATTTTAAAGATCATAGCTAAGTGATGATTTATACGAGTTGCACACATTTAAAAGCTCGAGCTTGTTATACTGATTTCAATTGTCTAATTTCGCAAACATAATATTGGTTTCCATAGCATATCTCTACTTTGAAAATTCTGCCTATAGTATGCCAAATTGTCATAGTTGTAAGCATTAAAAAATCAAACAAAAATAGGCGCTACATTGCAAATGATAGAATTATAAATAAACATTCTCTTATATCGAGGGAATGGATAATGTTATGTTCTTGGTTTTAGACAGCTGTTTCATTGTCTTAAGAGAGATATTACCAGATATCTGTTAAATGGTGCATTAAAAAGATAATCAGAAAAGCTTAAGCATTAGCAGCTTACTGGCTTGTTAATATAATATAATAAACTGAATTACTAGTACACTTTAGGTCGCTCTTTGAAAATTCTCGACAGAAAAAATCTGCAACATTATATGAATTTTTTTTTCTATCCTTTTTGAATTGATATTTTCTTTATATCAAAAACGCTGATTCAATAGTTTGAAGTCAATTGCTATTCAAGCTTTCTCTTTTTCAACAAAACAGTAAATTAAATAGATAGTTCTCATAAATCTATTAATATCATTGTTAAATTTACTGCAACTGATTTCGTCAAAATCAATCTTAGAAAGAGGAAATATATCAGATTTTATAAATATATGTGTGTTTCAAACCTTATACAGGAAGGGCTTTATAGGACGTTTATTAGTAAACTGAAATGATGTTTAATTTCCGCAAAAGCAAATGAATTTAAATAATTCGAGCATTTTCAAAAAATATAATTGTGTGATAGCTGCAGCAATTTTTTTATTGTTTGAGTCTTACAGAAAAATAATCAAGTGTTGGTAGGTATCAAATTTTTTTTTCATTGTTTGTTTTTTTATCAATAAATTACGCAGAGGTAAAAAGGAAGCATACAAAATATTGTACCTTGACTTAATCAGTGCTACATTATGATGTCATAATAAGTGAGATGACGTCAATTTTACAACACCATTTTTTGTAATATTGGTATTTAGAGATGTAATTTAACTCCAGAAAATGAAAATTGACTCTATAAAATTAATAGTAATCTGACACATTAACAAAATTAAAAATGTTTTTATTTTGTTATGCTTTATCTGTCAAATTGATTCAAATCTACCACCGATGACGTCATATGTGTACATCAAGTAGCTTGGGAATTGATCAAGTCGTGTAAAGAAAATGTGGCTAAGACGACATGTACAAAGATACGTCAAATGGAGTTGGAAAGGAAGTTTCGTCGATATTATGTGAAATTCATATGGAATTGAGTTAATTAAACAGGTATGCTAATTTATTTTCATCGATTATATTCTATTTCAAAGACAGTCTGCTATATATATACGTATTCCTGTCGGCCTTTCCTCCGTCATTCGTGGGAAAAATGATACAACAGAACAACAATAAGCTGGATATTTCAAAATATAAGATTTGTGCGGATGGACAGTTAGCCTTCTGACAAACTTGGAAAGTGCTGCTAGAATCCCGAGTAAGGCAAGATTTTCCGAAAAATATCAATTCATATGTATAAAATCCATGACATAGGGTAAGGTTTGGTACGAATGTGTGGAATAATTATTTTGCTGACAGGACAGTAGGATTTTAGCAGCACTTTTAAAGGCAAAATAGATGTTTTTCAACATATCATTTGTTGTTCTGTTAGCCTTTTTAATATGTTGACGGTGCGACCGTTAGAGCGAGCGCAAACTCTTCTATTGTTTTGATTTAGATCGGGCTCGTCAAGCCGCACGTGACATTCGGTGCGTCTAGACTCTGACATCACATGACGTATGCAAATTACAATATACCGAGAAAAAGCCTGAACAGTGCTGAAAGTTAATGAAGAACGTTTTATTTTCTATTTATCTTCAATATATATCCATTAAATCAAGGCGAGTAAACTTTTTGTTGAACATTTGCCGTGATTCTCGCGAGAACGTAGCTAAAACAAGTGATGCATTGTGGGTCCAAATTCGGCATCAAAAAGTTTTATCGAATGAATGTGCAGAAGGCCGAATTTTCTCTTCGCACAGGCGTTGCTTTAAGAGCTCGCTATGCGAGCGGCGCTTCGCGCCGCCTCGCTGCGCTCGCTATTAAGGAAAATCTCAGGAAATTAAGGAAAAAAAGTCACGTGATGCAGTGGCGGTGGTGCACGTCTTTGCTTCAGACACCGTTTTATCTTTATGCATAATAATAATAGTTTACGTTTATCAGCGGTTTTAGTATTTCATCATAATAATTTTTTTCTTTAAAAAGTCCAAATTTTCCGAGAAATGACCTGTATGCATCCTTAACATACCCGCGCATGCATCATTTTAAAGTTCCAATATACTTATAACAATAAAAACATGTATATATTTACATGCATTAAAAATTGTCTGAAGTAATAGGTACTTCATTGCAGGGTAAAATAAAATGTGGTGCGAAGGACAAGCTTCATTTTTTCTTCTATGGTTCTTACATGTAATGGTAAGTATTTTAAAATTGAATTTGTATGAGTCAATTTTTTTATAATACAACAACAAATTATTTCTGGCAATTATTGACAAAAAAACTACTATTAATCTTTTTTTCGCCAATGCTTTATTTCGTGTTATAACTGGAGACTATGGACTCGCAAAAAAATATTCTTGCGTTTATTTTTATTCCTTAAGATTATATAGATCATAAGTCACACTTTTTAAAAAAAAATTGCCCCGCTCATAGAGAGTTGATAAATTCCTCGCAAAATAGGGTATAGCGAACATTTAGTATATACAGTATTTTTTTTTCCAAATGAAGATAACACACTAGACAACTGTAAAATAAAAAAAAAAAATATATTTTCAAATTTTTAATTCTATAAAAAAGATCAAATGAATTTTCATATGCATGTACAAATAACAAAAATTCATTCAATAGAAACCATTTTACGTGATCGGGAGGTTGCAAGTTCAAATCTCGGCTGCAACTGACTTACATGTCAATCAACAAAACAAGGTAGCAACTATTTCTCTGCCATGTTTTCAAAACTTGATTTTAACGCTACGGGTCCTTAGGATGAGACCTTTAAACCTGACACCCTGTGTAATGCAGGTGTTGGCAATATAAAATCTCCTCACTGTTCAATGTGTTAAGAACCGAGTAAAAATTAACGATTTGAACATTTTTAGCGGTGTATGATTACGTCCCTAAAAGTGATACATTCTCGAATAGGCGTAAACAATAAATAAACAGTCATTTAATCCTAAAATAAATCTCAAATGATTTTTCATGAGGGTCATGATATAAACTATCTTTTAGCATGTTTCTCACGTAAATTAACATCGAAACTGCAAACATTGATTTACTACTTCACATAGTCATTGGCGTGACTACGTAAAGAAGTTTCTCTAGATTTAATTTGCAAAAAATAAAAATAAATGAATGGTGTACAGTCATTACGTATAGATTAGTCCATTTAGTTTTTTTTTCTTTAGAAATATGAGGAGCCCTGATTATTTACTGTTTATATCATAAAACACGATATGTGCACCATTTTTACAATTATCGACACAATATGCAAATCATTATATTCACAGTTTCTCTTGAACGGCAATAAAGATACTTATCACTAATAGATAATAAACAAAACAACAGTAAAATTATAACTAAGAGATTAATTGGTAGGTTAATTAACATCTATAGAAAGGTAATTTTGTACTAAGTAGTGGAGATCATGAATTACAGTGCAAACATCTGTCTTTAAGGCACATGTTCATGTAGGACACAATGTATAAGCCTTTTATTTTAACCTCGAGTTCATTCATTCTGAAACCTAGATATATTGTTCTAGGATACAAAACATCTCTTCATACATGTATATGATACGAAAGAGATCAAGGAAGTAATGAGATAACGAACAGTTTTCGATCTCAAAGTCCATAAAACAATACAAAATAAGAGCAGAGCAATCACGGACCCCAAAAACATCAGAGGTGGGATCAAGTGCCATGAAACATCAAACATTTTTGCACACATATCTGAAATATAGACTATCAGACCCCTGTAAGAAGATTGTGAAATCAGACATTCGACTTGAAAATGGGCCTTACTTTAGAATTATCAATTGATCTATTGCAGATTTGTATAGCACGAGGGCTGTTCAAATATAGTGTCCTGAACTCTATGACATACAATACAGATATCATATAGCATTGAACTCGACTTTCTCTCATAATTAATTCTTTAATGAACTTATAACAGTTTATGTGACCACTTTTCATCACATAACTTCATTGTAAGAAGCTGGGAGACAAGGGCTTTTCGAGATACTGCATTATAAATGAATGGTAAAGAACCGGCAAACTAGAGTGAAAATAAAAGCTTAAACAAAGCTGCTGTTAAACTTGTTAAAAAGCCAAAGAAATTTTCACTGAAATATGTGACATTTACAACAACCAATACCTGTTTTGTAGACAAATGAGCAGGTGGATTTCAATGATAAAACATTATATAATGGGCATCAAAAATGGGTAACGTCCTTGGCAACAAAAAATTATAACACTTATGTACTGTTTGCCTAATTTCAAAAAAAATAGTTGATGATGTAGGATTGACTTTAAGACAAATAGCAAATTTGATAAACATCACATTGGGGGTGGTTTATACTGTTTTAAGAGATGTTTGACGGTAAAAAAGCTTAGTATTCAAAGGTCACCCTATATTTTGAAAATTGAATGAAAACGACAGCGTGTATGAATGTCTTAACGATTATTTTAAAATATCATTAACTGGAGTTATCAACTTTTTTTTTTTTGGATATTCAAACAGATAATGAACTTGAATCTATTGCTTAAAATCCTCAAAATAAACTATAGCATGAGATGTACTTAACAAAAACAGCGAAGGTCTGGAGAGAACAAAGAATTGCAAGAGCTCAAAAAGAGATTTATATGCAATTTTCTTATATATTTGTGGTATTGTTGGTCAAATTCGTATTCGGGGAGACAGTTTAATTTCTGGATGAGGCTAGAAAACATTATTTTTTTGCAAAAAAATCGAAAGTTTTATTAGAGGAAGGACCCAGAATCAGGAGTCCAAATCATTAAATTTCTTCATGACAGCGACCAAACCCGCACGCCCTGAAGAGTAAATGGGGTTTTCGGGATACACAGATACATGTAGTTAATATTTTTGCACATTAACACAATTCGCCAGATCTTTGACCTTTAGACTTATTTCGATTTCCATGATTGAAAAAAAACCACCTTTGATGAGGAAGAAACAAGTCCAGGAAATCACTGGATCTGCCATTTTCCAGTATACAAAGGGTCATACACAAAACTGTTCTAACATCAATCAGAAATTGGATAAAAAAAGGTTACGGACATGTGATTCCACAGTAAGTAAAAAAAATGAAGACAAAATCATTGAAAAACGTCCTTTGTGTCTTTCTGAGCACCGAGAACATTATTTATCATTAGGCCCTCGTAACTAACCTGCTTGTTTCTTTAACTCAGTAAATCATATTGATACTGAAAAAAAATGAGTAAAATATTACATGTTAGTAAAAATAAAACAAACATAGCTTTCTATTTGAAAATTCACACGTAGATGTCTTACACTTTTTGGTATCTAAATATAATTGAATAATTGAATAATTCATTTTTTATAAGATTAAACAGAATCATTCAGATTGTCCCTAAAAGAACTGCGTAAAACTTAAGAAAAATTAACCAGTGGTTTCAGATATTTTTGCGATCTAAAAAATTCAATGGCAAAAAAATTCCGTAAAGATTCAGTACATGACGTCACAATATTCCATCTTTCGCCTCTTGATTTAACCTTTACCTTTATAGTACATAAAAAAAATAAAAAAAACTCCATTTATATGTGTCCAAATATCAGTCCTCTTGTACATCTGGAACCAAAGCTACTCTGCATTTTATAGCAGACAGTTATATGTTTGTAAATTACATACTAAGTAAAAAAAAATACAGTTTTTTTTTTTTTTTTTTTTTTTTTTTGCATACGCAATATGGCAGATGTCAAAACGGTCCTATCAGCCCTATAGGACTGAAATGGATTCGTAGGGCTAATACGGATCAATAGAACACCCTCAGTAAATTAAACCTGAAAATCAGTACTTGTAATCATACACCTATTTTGAAGGTATTATTTATTTATTTATTTTCAACTTTTTGAATGTAAGGATAATCTATTCAACAAATAATATATTATTTTCAAATTACAGATCGGGAGATTTAAAATAGAAATACATGTACATGCAGAAACATATTCAAACTGTTTGAACCAACAGACAGTGTACATTGTAAGAAATCCATGGATGATTATTTACTTAAATTCTTTTCATCTAATTGTGTTCTTTTACACACACCCTTTCCACATCTAATTCTGTTTCAACCCACGACCAATTTCGGCCCTCCAGATCTGGCTGATATTGGTGTCTCGGGCTGATACAAGATTTGATATGGAAAAGGGTATATATTATTTTCTATTTTTTGCCCATAGATAGTGTCAATACATTCAAAAATGTAATCCCTAGCAAAAGATGGTATAGTATAAAAAATGATTGTGTTTATAAGATGAAAACAATTGGTTTCAGGATAGTGTTTAATAAAAACTCATCCCTACATGTTTCCGTCCAGACTTTCTCATCGTATTACACATACTTAAAGCAATTAGAATTAACAATGAAATAATAATATTATGACATTCTCTTTTGTGTGTAGCATATACATTTGTGCATTTTTTCATTCATAGGATATTGTTTTCTGATGAATATAATCCATAAATATATTTTTTTCGGAATTTAACATGATTAATATGATGGTATAAATACTTTCCTTACCCAGGGCCTAGTAAGAGAGTTACTAGGCTTTGATACAATATGTGAAGGGCATTTTTGTTCACTAGTAATTCTTCGATATTATGTCTTGCGATACATATAAGTTTACAAAAAGGACAATTTAAGGTAATTTTAATAAGAAATGGTTTGCAAGCGTTTGTCACTTTTGAAAAGGTAAGTCAGAAAATAAAAATAATCATTTTATCTAACGTACATTAGCTGTATAAACTGGAATAATTTTTTGCTCGTAAATTATTTACTGAAAATTTAAATTTTTGCTTGTCTTAAAGAAGAACACAATATAATTGTCATAAAAATTAAATCTCTAAAGCGACACGATGTACTCGAAAATTATCATATGTATGAACAGACTGATATTAGGAAAAGAGGATAAAAATTTCATGTATTTGTCTTTCATTTGATTATTCAAAAATTTAATAAAGCATATGTAAATGAATTAATAAAGTAAAAAAAAAAAAAAAACATGCAAACTTAATATTCCGTAACCATGCATAATACTTATATACTGATAAAAGTAAGAAAAAAAAAGATTGTAACTGATGTATACTTTTATCATGTTCTCAATTAGATGAATGTTTTTCTTTAACTAGGACTACAAGACTTCCTCCTCACTTTCCTGTAATGGATTGTCGCTGGAAACAATGATGAAAGTTGACTCCTGTCCATCAAATGAAGATGAGAAGAACAAGTTAGCAAGAGATAAAAATTGTAGGAGATACTGGAACCTTTATAAACACGAGTGTAATGAGGATCCTTTGAAATTTCAATACCACTGCGTTATTAATGATTATAAAAATGAGACAATTGAAGTATGCGGCATTAAAACAATAATCAAAGGTACTTATATTTATATTACAATATTTTGAGGTATACCAATTTATTAGAAATAGTCACGCAGTGCTTAGTGACTTTAAGAAAAAAAGTTTTGGCAGAAAAATCGAGTTAATTTACCAGTGTTTTACAGGTTATTGCACAGAATTCAACGTTAAAGGTGGATCTATCCAGGCGCATTTTGGATACGATTGCACAAAGTTTGATCCCCCATGTAAAAGCAATTACAGTTCAACAGAAGCTTATCTGTGTATGTAATCTCACAGTTAAATTGTTAGTTTGATAAACACTAGATCATACACTGTATACATGCATTAGGAGAGGTCTTTCTGGAATGAAATGAGGTGAGTTCTTGTACCTACAACAATATTTCTTGCGAATTAAGCATACCAATAACAAAAAAACTTAATATAGATGTACAATTTCAGTTTTTCCAAGTACTTTCGTCCAGATTATTTCATTTTACTGTTCATGTAAGTGATTTATTCTTTATGAAAAATAAATCAATGGACTTATGTATTTTTGCACGTGTATCACTAAGTCCACATTAAATTCAAGTGAATATTGCTAATCGTGTTATTTGGACAATATGTAATTTGATTTTAACTTTAATAAGAAGTATCATAGGATGCTCGGTTACACGGTATTTTACAGCGTGTTTGTGTACAAAAATACAAAATATTTTAAGGACATACAACTAAATCAAAAGTTGATGCAGGGAATGATTTTTTGCTCATTGTGAATTAAAATGACAAAAATAATAAATTCATAAGATATTAAGAAATCGTATGTTTCATACTTAGGCATGCCGTTTTCATTTTCATTCAATTTTATAATTTTGTCAAAATATTTTTCTCCTGTACCTGGCAAACAATATTCAGGCTACCTACATGTATATTAATATAAATCTATGTGAAACATTGCTGATTTCTGAAAAAAATGTTTTCCTGTTATATGTCCTCAACATAAGATTATTTCTTTTATTTTTGTATACTGCTTGAAATATATTGTAAATATCAATTATCTTTTCAATCAGAGTTTTCATTAATTACAGATAAACCATGCTACAATTTTAGCGGCAAGCAAAATAAGGGTATGTAAACAAGCACATGTAGTCCCTATACAGAGTCTTCTAAAATAGTGTTATTTTTATTAAAATTATTTTAATTGCTTGATTATCGACCATCTTAAAGTCGATTATAGTGTACGGTTGCCAGTGTATGATGCAACTACTTTTTGTTGCCAAATTATATATAACAAGATGGTAATTTCCTTAAAAAAATGTTCTTCGTAGACACTTGACGGTAAACCAAATTTGGTATAATTTGAATGGTTCCATCTGAGCTAAAAATTGTTCTGAAGTAAAAAGAATTAAGAATGAGTCTCGGACAAAGTCTCGTTCCCAAGTGTAGATAATTTAGAACTGACAAAAATAAATTTGGTTCATCTTCTTTTCAAGAGTCATGGAACAAGAAAAATGATAATGTTAAACTTTTTGTAAATTTTGAATATTCAATATATGATATTTCGGGAAGTTAATAAATAAAAGAAGAATCAAAGGTATTCACTGGAGCAGGAAATAAAATTAGAAAATGATCTTCTAATTTGGTATTTGCGACCGTTAATGATGACCCTCCGTCTGTTACGCATTGGGGTACCCTTCTCTTATCTGCAATTCCTTTTATACCAGTGAATCAAATTTAATGAGACTTTCATTGAATATCTACTACATATTCCAATTGTGTTTCCAATAGCAAAACATGGACAATGCTTTTATATTCATATGGGAGGTGGGGGTATCATTTGGTGACTTCATTGCTCAATTTACTTCCAGTGTTTCTTTCATTCCATTTTGGTACAATTATTATGTAAGATGCACATAATTTTTCCAGTCAGATAAAAAAGTTACAAATTAGAAAACTACAGATGCTACTTTGAAGATTCTTTTTTTTGGTGGTTGCCAGGGGACATATATTTCAAAAAGTGTGGATTCAACTATTTGTAGACAGAAGTCCGGTTTAGCATATGCTAATTGAATATTGCAAGGATGAATAAAAATTGTACTTATTTTTTAAACGGTTATTAGAATATTTTTTTTCTACCAACTTTTAAGTGACCAAAAATAACCAAAATTAATTCATTTTTCTGTATAATTCAAACACATGCAATAGCAATTTCAGATTATATTAAAATCATGAAAATTGCAATTTAACACATTTAATATTCTAATCTTATTATTGTAGTTGATGGAGGGTGGTCAACATGGAGTCCATTTGGCAGCTGGAGTGATTGTACAGTTACCTGTGGTGGAGGAGTTCAACAGAGTTTGAGGACAAGGGAGTGTAAAAATCCTGAACCAGAAAATGGGGTACGCGAATGTGAAGGTTCTGAAGAGGATAAAAAGGAGAAGACATGCAACTCACAGCCCTGCCCTGGTAAATAATTTTTTTTTAAACATCCGTAATTCAACAACCCTTTGATAAGTTGAATAGCATACTTTAAAAATGTTTAACTTATATTACTGTTGACATAACCATGCCACATTTAATGGGGTTATTTGCTGTTCTGAAAACGATTACTAGTAATAACATGTAATAACATGTAAAATAAATGAAAAAAAAAAGATAATAAATGGTTTCCAACGTTAGTGAAGTGGGATTTGACTCAAACTGATGACTACTTGATACTGTAAACCAACTTTTATTTTTTTTTTTGTGAAACATTTTCGCGAGGCCCACAAGAACCCCGTCATCGCAAATAAATATCGCCGCGTACTGATCCTGAAGTATCTGTGTATATTATCTAAAGATCCAAAAAAGATTTGATCGCGATTTATTTAAGCATTGAATTCATATTTTGGAATTTCTTCGGTTCTATAACACACCTGGCCGTGCCTACAATTTGAATACCGAGCGTTAGCGCAGTATGATAATTTGTCGGCATGGCCAGGTGTGTTACAACCGAAAATATGAATTCAATACTTATATTTACATTCTTTAATTTGTCCTCTTCAAAATTTTTCATTTCGACTATCTGTGATGTGAATTCAGCGCCCTTGAAAACCTGTGTGTTTTAATAGACTTAAGAACCGTTTGTTACGATTGTGACGTCGTAAAGTTAAATAACGCGAACGAACATTGCGAGGAAAAAAGTGACAAATTAATTATAAATGCACATTTGTTGTAGTTTTACATTAATTAAACAGGGTTTATTTTTTTAAATTAAATTGTGTCAAACATAGTAAATCTTGTTGTTCATAAAGTATTGAAAATGCATATACATCCTTCTGCGTATTCTAATGCGCGGTGAAAAAGTTTCGAGTGTGTTAAAGATATTTGAACTTCATGGATTTCTAATGGATTTCATAAAGAAAATTACACTGAATGTAAATATTCATGTATAATTATAATCAAAATGTTAATGAGTTATGCACTTGCCTTTCACAATTTGCAATTAAACACTCATTTGAAGAAAGTGCTAAAAATATATGGACAAATTTCACGCAAAAAATTAAACCATGCCTAATTTAACTCTATGTAGCTTTTTAGGTAACATTAAAATGGCTTTCCTCGCTAAGTCGTTATAGAGAAAACATTTGTTTTTTTTAAATTTATACCTACTTAGGAAACAAAAACCAATGTGAACAAAATTCTCGGAAATAAATGTGGTTAACCAGGAGGGTTTTTCTAAGATCTGACCACATTTCGACAAAATTCATTTCCTAGATAAATTTTCCACTTATTATGTATATTTAGATTTTTCAGGATTTAACACGTAATAAACAAGCATATCTCTTAAGGAATGAGTTTTATGTGAATTATTGGCGTGTAAATCACACAGACAAGATTATTTTTTTTATCCAATTCAGACTATATAATAAAAGTTTTATGAAATAGTTCAGTACTGAAAATGTCTGTGTGTAAAATACATAATTATTTACCCAGTCTTCGCCTCAATCAATATTGATATTATTTTAGTGAATAACATGCCGTATTTAACATTAAAAGCGTCGGTTTCCATAATTTTATGATATTACAGTAAAGCCAATCACTGTAGATTAGGAGACAAAATGTAAATTAATAATATATCTCTAAATGTATTTAATTCCTTCTTCTCTTTTGAGCAAAGTTGTTATAAAAATGGAGTTTACATTTAGATCTACATGCATCAATAATGTTTAAAAGCTGAATATCAATTCATGTCAAACAATAAAATATGGATAAATATGATGAAGCTGATACTCTATTTCATTTTAGTAAATCATTCTCTCGCATAATAAAAGACAATGTACAGTCATGTATTAGATTTCCCGTTCCTTCTTTTGATGCAATATTGCAAAATTGCTAACATTGTTCCTTTCAATTTAGGAACGAGCCTTCGCTTAGAATTATGGGCAACAAAATTAAGTCAACATGTATCAACGATGAACAGTTCCAAAAGCTCGAAAAGAACCCTATTCTATACAGGGGTACAGAATGAAGTTACAAAAGGAAGATACATAGAACACGAGTCTACAAATAAATTTTATTTATTCACCAGTATTATATCTACCCGTTTCAGTTCTGAAAGACCAGCAGTTCTAGTCAAGTCGGATGTTTTTTGGTCTGGATACATTCCTTATGTTATTTTTGGATTAGCGGGATTGTTTGTGATATTTTTTGGGATATTTGCGTTTTCCTTTATGCACAAAAATGTTTTTCAAAGAAGAAACTTAGAATTACCTTTGGATACTTTTCAAAAGGAAAATACAGACTATATGCCTATTCAGAGAAATGTGCATATTAGAAGTTCCATAATACACACTAATGAACAAGAAACGCTTTTGGCATTTATTCCTCCCATGTCTGAAAATGATATACAATATGAGGAAATAACTATGCTTAATTCTTCTGTTGATGGATCTAGTTTAGAGGATAACGAAATGTCATGTGAGTCCCAGGATGACAAAAATAAGTATTTGGATCCAAACACATACCTGACACCAATTGCAGAGACGTACTTGACTCCTGTAGCAGATTCAGAAAATACCTATGTTGAAGTTGTTGATTGAAATATAAAGGCTAGATCCGTCATAAAACAGTCTTATCTGTAGCACATTACAGTGTTTGGTTCTAAAATGATCCCCTCTCTTGCCTTTTGTACTCATAACAACAGAAAACAAAAGCACAAGGGAGGGGGTCAATCTAAATTTAAATGTAGCAACTTGAAAATCCTCTTTTCTTCATACGTTATAAATAAGGTTATTTTTATGAATTACGGACAGGAAGATAAACGAATAATTATAATAATGAATCGAATCCAAGACCCCTGCATGTCCAAGAAGGTGCTCTACCAACTGAGTTTCCAAGGCCGATATCCACGGCCCTAAACATTACATCTGTAAATTTTACTATTTATTCTGAAACTTTTACACTTTATTCGGTAAATTTTGCACTTTTCATCTGTACAATTTTCACATTAATCTATAAAAATTCTACTAAAGCTAACGATTGAATGGTTTTATGGTACTTTACCTATATGACATATGAAAAATTGTACAAAACTGATATGCTTTCAAATGTGTTTGCATAAGATTTAAACATGTTTATATATGATAAGTACGGATGGGTCATTTCCTCATGTGCCTGCCTTCCCAATCAAATATCGAAAATCTGCCTTCAATGCATTATATTTCTTTGGTACTTCAGTATAGAGCGACAAACAGAAGATAAGTACTTATTATTCACATTTATTGTTAAAAAGGAAATCATCATTATATTTTATCATGCAGGACTCATGGTCTATTGGCATTGAAGCATATTACTAAAAAAAGTATGCAGTTGCCGTATTGATTGAAACAAAGAAATGTTCGCATTAAACAGGTAAATGTTTAAATTTTACAGTATTTACAGATCAAAGTGTACAATTTACAGATTAAAATGTAAAATTTGCATTAAAGTTAGCAATTAAAGTTTAGATTTGACATGTTTAAGTGTATATGTCACAGCTTAAAGTGTACATTTTACAGATTAAAATGTTTTATTTACAGATAAAAGTGTACAATTTACAGATGAAAATGCAAAAATAAAAAAATAAATAAATAAAGTGTCCAAAGTGACTCTCATACACTTCTGTAATATTTTGAACGCATCATGTAAAAGTTATTTTTTTCCTTGATTTAAGAAAAGGTTAATATGGGTAACAATTATCGTTATCATGATTGCTTAAAATTAAAGGAACTCTTAGGAGGTGGGAAACGTAAATGAGATTGGAGCGGGGGTTATGCTTTTGAATACAATGCAAGATCAATCAATGTAGAAGTTTAAATGAGATATGAGAAAGACGCCTTTTTTTCTTCTATCGATATCAATTATATTTTTTTTTCAAAAAGAGATCTTGCAATATGGTAGTGTTTTGATGGAAAAATGCATTAGAAACGTCAATTTTTGTTATACAACGTTGCGTAAAAAGACGATAGTGAAGACTGTAGGATTATAATGCACATATTTATTAAAGTTGCTTAGACATGTAAATGAAGTTAATATTTTCTCAAACGTTCTATTTAATGTTCCATCAATAAATTTCAAGAATTATTGAATTCCTATATAAAGAAGATCATATTAACTTGTTTGGCATAAATGAAAAAAGTCAACGTTCAAGGTCGTAAATTTATACATTCTGTCTATATGGACCACTATTTTTTTTCAGGAGATGTTTCAAGACGATTTTGAGCTTTTGCAATGTAATTCTGTACCAAAACTCCAAAGAACCTCTCAAAGTATCCAGTCCCGTTTATTTTATTAATATTTATTGTATCAAGTGTCGCTATTTTCGCACAGGGGTATGAGGAGAGTTATTACGTATAAAACAGGTTCTCGGGCGGACTTTATATTCTTATTACATCTGTAAAACTGTTCAATAAAGGTTAAATTAAACATCATGCATTGTTCGTAGACTTTTGTCTTAACTTTTTTATTTAACGTCATATAATATCCAAATTTGGTAAACATCAAATAATTTGATAAAAAAAAAATTGGAATGTATCTGCAATTTATAGTATTGAAATTTCTAATAATGGAGCTGAAACGAAATAGAATTTACATGTTTAAATAAACTATTGCTGTATTAATTAAAATGAAATCAGGTTATGCAATATGTCGCTCCATTTAAAAGATATCAGTTTCTAAATATATGGACTTGATTTAAAACAGCAAAAACCATGTAAACATATACATGTATGTGATTTCATTTTTGATTGCATATAATTTTCGACAGTTAAAAATATTATCGAAAGAGTTAAGAACGTCATTGAACGTACCGTGGTTAAGTGGTATGTATATTTGTACAATTGTTCGCAAACTAAGTGTAATGGATATGTTTTTTTTTGAATGAAGAAGACGCTACAAACCGTGTTTGATATTAAGAAAATAAGTATGATTTTGACAAACTTTCTCAACGTTGTCTTTGACGGTACAATGTTCGTTAACCTTGCTCTGTGGTAACAAAACATGTTGGTTTAAATTTTGGCTAACATGAGTTCTATTTAATCAAATGGATTAAAACTTCACACTTGTATAATCCATTTTCTTTTTTTTCTGAAATACTTTTTTCTTAACTAAATGATAGTATTCAGCATATGAAATGAAAAAAATAAATGAGGTCTGGCGTGTACAAATTCATAAAATCATCATTATAGCATCATTAATACACATAATAAAGAAAAAGCAATTAAATCTTTATATCCATATTGGCACATTTTAT